ATGCTTCATTGTCCTTGACATCTTGTTTCTCCAAGGACCACCTCTTAGATCTTCCTCTGGGAAGGAGCTATCAAATTATCAAGTTCAGTGAGACCATGATGCATGAAGCCAAACTTCGCAAGACGGAAAACAAGTTGGACTTGCAGCATTCTGCCATATGTCCTTCTACTTCCTTCCAAGCTCCAAGGAAGAGACCGAGAAATATCTCTTTTAACCAAGGTTCATGTTACAGACCCAAGAGGGATGCAGGCCAGTCTTCATCTCCTACAAGAGTCAGTCCCCCATGTACATGTATCTGCATCCCTTTAATTCTCGGTGGTTGCGGACCAACAAGGGCTTCTGACGGCTACACAGTACTCATCCCCCTTCCCTCAAGTCCATGGTGGTCGTCTTGCAAATTCAGTCACCAGTGGTTTCACATAACTTCATACAGCTGGGTCCTTCAGACAATTTCATAAGGACATTGTCTGGAATTCATCATTCCCCCCCCCCCTTGGCCTCCTCAATGATCTATGCCTGTCCCTATAGATCCCACTCACCGGACTGCTTTGAACAGGAAATCCTTCCTCTGAGAGTGAAGAATGCCATTGTGGTTCTCCCTCAAGGAATCGCCCTGGGATTCACCTAAACATTCTTTCTCGCCCCAAAGAAATCTTTGGAGCAGTGATCCATTATCAACCTGCAGCTATACAACTACTATGTCAAACCAAAGCACTTCCGGATAGAGACACTTTCAACCATTCTCTGGTCTTTCACAACAGGTTGGTAAGCAACTTTGATTGACCTGATGGACGGCCATCTTCATGTGTCCATTACTCAGGACCATCACTCAGGTAATCACAGGTTCCTTCAGATTATAAATCGGGAGACTGTATACCAATTTCACTGCCTACCCTTTGGTTTTACCACAGCCCCTCAGGTCTTCACCAGAATCACCGAGCCATTTGCAGCATTCTGAAATCAGAGTTACGTCCACCTTTTCGTGTATCTGGATGACTGGCTAACAGTTGGCCCTACTTTCTAGGACACAGTCAAGGCCCCTCAACAATCCTAATAACACTTGAACTGGGCTTCATCATTAGTACAGAGAAGTCCTCCCTGTCGCCTTCTCAACCACCAACTTACCTTTGAGCAGTTCTCAACTTGGACCTGTTTGCATCTCATTTGAACCACTGGCTTGCGACATTTTTCTCCTGACACACTCACCTCCTGGTTTGGAAAGCGGATGCTTCCAAGCCAGCTATAACTGGTGAGGAATTCATGCCAATTCCTTCCTGCCAATTTCTCTGGTACATTGGGTGCTAACGAAGATAGAAAGAGAATTGTCTATAGAGTCATTTTCATGCATGTAGCTCCATTTTGGCCTCAACAACCTTAGTTCCCTCGTCTTCTTACCCTGCTTGTTCGTCCAGTCATGCTCCCAAACCACCAAGACCTGACTCAATCAAGGTCTCAACATGTACATTCAGATCCAACCTCTCTTTATCTCTGTGCCTGGATGCTATCAAAATCCCTCTCTCATCAGCTGGCCTTTCAGAGGAAGCTGCAGCCTTGTCAGCCAAGAGTAGATGTGGGTCCACCAGACAAACTTATGATAGTCAACTTCATCACTTTAGCAAGTGGTGTAAGGAAAGAGCTATTGATTCCTATTCTGTATCTGTAACTGCTGTTGGGGATTTTCTCCTTCACCTCTTCAACACCACTCTTCCAATATCCTTTATCAGGTTATAACCAGCCATTGGTGCCATCCATCAGGATTTCTAAAATAATTCAACACTCTCTTCAAACTCATTAATATCACCTTTGCTGTGAGGCATATTTATAGAACCATCCCCAAACAAGAAGCTCATCCCTTCTTGGGATCTGGGCTCTGTTCTTACATCTTTATCCAAGGCTTCCTTTGAACCAGCAGGGAATTCTTCTCTTCACCAGCTCAACATAAACACTGTGTTTTTATTGGCTTCTGTAACAGCTCGACAAATAAGTAAGCTCCATGCCTCAGAACCAGGTCATTTTGCTTGGAACCAGGTGGTGCGTATTTTATTCCACAGACACATTTTCTAACAGAGAATCAGTCGGTTGACATCTCTCCCCCAGTTAACCTTATGCCAAGCTTGATGTCATTGCTTGCACTAGGCCATAGCAAGGTGATATCATGCAATTTTTCATCACAACTATCCAGCCACATCGTCCGGCCTCTGTGACCATGATTGCTCAATTGATTTCAGAGGCAATGATAACAAATCCTGATGATAATCAAGTATTGAAATGTACCATAAAGCCTGCAAGACATGCAGCATGTCAACCTCTTGGGTCCACCTGCTTGGAGTTTCTATTTCAGATATTATGAAAGCGGCCTGCTGGAAGAACCCAACCACCTCTATATCATGTTACACATGTACTTGAAAGGTGTGGTTCAAGCTGAAAGACTTATGGGTAGGAGAGTCTTCCAGGAGGTCAGCCAATCAGCAGCCTACAAAACGCACAAAGCTACTCGCAACTACTGTAGATAGGCTGCTCCTGGGAAAGTCTAAACAACCTTTCCGCATTTCTGTAGGTTCTATTTAGACCTTATAACCCTGCAATGTCCCTTCCCTCCCTCATAATTGGATAACGGTGCTATTCTACAAATGTACCAGTTGGTAAACACTTTAACTGAGGGGCGTTTCTTTCTGTAATGGAATTCCCAAATCCAAAGGGATTGGCAACAATGCATTTCTCAAAATATTGAGCATTTATTACTACAAGTATATGATTCCTCTTTTAAGAAAATTGCATTTTTTTTGTAATGCATCTTTAAATAAGAAAAATTCTTGCTTTGAGAAAATATTAGGTATATGTATATTCAAAAGTTATCTTCACTGCTATGTTTGAATTTAGTTACCATAGATTTAGGATGGTTGTTTTTCAACCCAATTATTTCGGATGTTTTAGGACTGGAAAGATTAAAAATTATATAAGATTCAAATCTGCTTTTTCAAAACTTGCAAATCTGTTTACAATTACAGTAGGTTTTCAGCACACATATTGAACTCTGCATGCAAGCTTCTTTAGGCATAACTGAGAGAACACTTTCTGTGCTCTTGTTGACAGCTACATACTAAATGTGAAATCTGGTACAAATATAGACCTTTGAATTGTCATGAACAGAAGAACAGAACTAAAGCATGCTGAAAAGTACATGTAGGTTTTGAAATTCAAAGTTTGCTTTTAACATGTTCATTTCTTTTAATTGTTATCCATATGTGCAGTGCATGATGAAATGATTCAGATCAAATGCCACGAAGTCAGTGCATACTGTACCTGCTAATTTATGTTTTGACCAGCCTTGTTAAGTGATGAGTTTGTCAAATGATTATTTTCATATGTGTATTTTCCAAAACACCAATGAGCCACACCATATTCCAAACAGCTTTCAAGCACCTTATTTCTGGAAACAAAGTACTATACACTGTGCTGCCTTGTTCATTTGAAACCCAAAATGGCTGAGCTAATGGCAAGGAGTCAACAATTAACCAGATACATGTACCTATTAACTTGAAATGAAATACATTTGTTCACTATTTATCACAATTTGCTGTGAAAATACTTGAAATTAAATCCTTGCCTTTTATTCTGCACATTTTTATGAAATCAACTCTGTCTTTAGAAAAGATTGTTCCATAGCAGAAAAATTGCATTTCCCCCAAGAATTCTTAAATTGGTATGATTAATGTTTTAGTTGAGAAATACTTTCATGTTTTATAACATTTGAAACATCTCAAATAACACAAAGAACCTAAATTTAAGAAAAATTAGTTCTTTTCTGTTTAAGAAAAAAAGTTGTCGAGAAATCATTTCTTGTGCTACCCAAGAAAAACACTGCAGACAGTGAGAAAACAACCCACAAAAACTTAACTGAACAAAAAAAAATTTTCTTCAAGAAAAGAAAACACCTTTTCTTGTGTCACTCTCTAGACAATTTTAATAAGAAAATTATTGTAACAGATTTTCTTGATACAAGAAAAAAATATAACAAAATAAAATCTTAAACCAAACTTTTTTCTTCCACCCGGAGAAAAGATATTGTGCCAATTTTTTTTAGTTAAGGACAGAAAAAAATTCCTACCATTTTTGGCATTTACCATCCCTCCCCAGTTTGAAAAAACCACTAGATGCTTTTCTGTTTTACACAGCCCTTTGTGGGGGACATGCAGTGGTTGGAGAGGGTATGGCTTGGGTGACTCTTTCATCAAGGTTTCTTTGTGCATGCGCTTTGATATGCAAATGTAGGTAAACAGAGGTTAGTGTTTACTTGCTGGTAGAATGGAAAATCCCTGTGGATTTTGGGAAGTTTGATTTAAATAAATGGGATAAACATACCTGTCATTGATACTGTACATGCATACGGTATATGGGTATGTGTAGCCTAAATGTACCAAAATAAACTACAGTAGGGTAGAGGGCTGAACTTTTGTTCAGAGAAGGGCGAGCTCTTAAACTTGCTAGTCAGTGATAGTTGGACAAGTCTGTGTACTATTCAGTACCCCGCCTAAAAGTGTGATTGCAGCATTGATAATGCATATCAAATTGTGCTGTGATGAAGAAATGTTGTAATCCATTCCAGATGGTTCAACTTTATGTGAGAATGTAAGGGTAAGGGTTAAGCTAGTTCATGCAGTCGACCATCCTAACAAATGGACCTAAGTAGATACTTGTACAAGTACATGTACAGTATCTGGTCCTTTTGGGATCAGTTTTGTCTGCCAATGACCATAAGCCCCTTCCTGCAATAGTAGTTTACTGTTTGATATGTTTCTGTGGTTGAGTTAATTTTCAAGCTCACTGAGACAAGATACTGGTGAAATTATGGTGTTTGGGTTCTGCCCCCCCCTTGTTAATGGCTGTCATCTGATCTAACCATGTGATCACTTTTTATCATATACATTTATGCTTATCATATCTGTGTTCTTTTCTGTGATACATTGAAATATTGAAGTAACCTCAATTTCATTTTTTAGTCTTACATCCAAGAAAAGGTCTTCGTTGGCCTGGAACATGTGCCTCCGTCTTTTGGTGTTCGTGACAAAATTTTAGGTCCAGGGGTAAGTTTACTTTTTTCAGGCATGCAAGTAATGTTTGCATTTTTTACAAGCATCAATGCTTGTGCTTTTGATGGCACCTTGTATTGCATCAGCAGTAAAGTGTGCCACTCACACACTTAAAATGCATTGACCACCAGATTGTATTTATAACTACATGTACAATACATGCAGATTTCATAATGTGCATGGCGCATAGCTAATATCAGAGCTAATTCATGCTCATTTTGTCATGACAGGTCACATATGAAGTCAGTTAAATTGATAAGAGTGCCAAAGTCTGGCTGTTGAAAAACATGTACAAAATCTATGGAGAAAAACACGAACCTTTAATTTCATGTCACGTGACCCCTAATGACGTCTTCGTGACAGATTTCTAGGACCATCCTTGGATGATTGTCTAAGGGTCTGCTAAGTAAGAATTCAATCAGATTTATAAAACTGATCAAAGTGCGGCTTGAAATCTGTCTACAAGTCAACAGGGAAAAATGAATATTCAAAAATCAATAATAAATCACTTAATGGGGTCATCAGTTAATCATCTTTTTCATGTTATCATTTCATTAAAGTCTTTTCTTGGTGTGGCTTTGAAAACTGAAGAATGCTCAACGACCAAAATGGTGCCTTGAAATGTGTACAGCGTCAGTGGGCAGAAATAAACATTAAAACTCAATAATACATTGTGTGATGACATCATCATGATGCATTTTTGTAGAACCATCCACACATTAGGGTCCTTCAATGGTATAACTTTGTTGTAGATACAACATTGCAAATACAAATTTGCCAAAGTGCTGCATAGAAAAACTGTGTGCAAAGTAAAAAAGCTTTTGGTTAAGCAGAAGAAGAAGTAAACAAGAGCTGCTGTGTCTGTTTACAACAGAACATTGGGCTTTTCCGCATTTCTTAAGTCATGAAAAACACATTTGCCCAACATACTCGTAAATGGGTCTACAAAAAGGTACCGGTGGGGTCACAAAAACATCAAAGGGTGATTTCATCATGATGTCACAAAATTTCTGAAATTATCCACGCTTCTCAGCTTTGCTTACTTAATTTTCACAAATAACATGTCTCAATCTGTGTCCTTGCCAAGTTTCAACTAGAAAACATTCACGATTTGAACCCAATAGACATCAAAAGATATCGAGAATTGAGGTTTACCCCTTCATTGTCATGTCACTGAAGGGGCATCGACAAAATATGCTTCTAACATGAAATGGTCATATCGATAGCAGTGCTTAAATTTTTGGCTTTAAAAAAACGTGTACCAAACCTATGGGAAAAAGTCACCTCTAATCTCGTGTCACATGATGCCTGATGACATCACAGTCACATTTTTTTTCTTACACCCTCTTGGGCTTGTGGCCAAAAATGCACCTAATATAGTGTCAGTCAGATGGATGAGAAAAACATACATAAAACCTATGGAGAAAAACTGCACTTTAATCTTATGTTCCATGATATGTGTTTGAAACACTGTGTTTGGGGTTTGCAGTTTCCCCTACACATGAGGGATCTCTGTCACCCTCTCTGTTGCTGATGGAACTGCATATTTTTCTTCAAACATTTACCCATCTGATGCCTACTCCGTAAAAATTGAATTTTTGAAATTCATTTGACCCTACTTCACACAATGACAACGCTTTCATGTGATTTACAATTGGAGTAATTTTTTTTCTTAGGGATCATTTCTACAGCACATCCGTTCGGAGACTGGTGCTAATGTTTATTTACGTGGACGTGGATCAGGATATTTAGAGCAGACGTCAGGACGAGAAGCTTTTGAGAATTTATACATCTACATTACCCATCCAAAAATAGAAGGAGTCCTTGCTGCCAAAAAGTTGTGTGAAAACCTTATACAAACTGTGAGTAGAACCCTTTACCTTCCGCATGTTATAGGAATGGAACCATATCCAGGTTTTAATGAAAATTCTCACTTTCTTTTCCCATCATAAATTCTGATTTAATTGATTTTTTTCACAAATGTCCATCAATTAAAAAATCTTGGAAAAGTTTTAAAAAGAACGTCAGTACATAAATATTGTGAGCACATTCTTTATCACTTTCACCAGTTGTAAATATGGTAGGCCTGTTCTTACATTAGAAACTCTAAGGCTAAGACATGTACTCGTAGGATTGACCTTTGAATTAAAAAAAAACTACGTCACTGTTACACAGAGCAGGGTGACAGCCAGTATGTGTAAACAATATGTACATGGCTGGGTCAGTTCCGCTAATTTAGAAATGTTTGTGAACTAACAGGATAACCTGTCAATAGAAGGAATGGACATTAAAAATGAATATTAAATTCCAGTGGTGAGGATTCAAGGAAGAAGAAATGGGAAGCTGCATGTATTTCTCTATGTAAATAAGAAAATTACATAATAAGCTTGTAAAGTGGCTACATGTATTTGTGTATTTGTACCGTGGCAACTGTTTTGATTAACACAAGCATAAAATTTTATCTCTCTGAAGTAAATGACAAGAAATTAAAATTCACTTCTAATACAGAAGTCAGTTTAGTGTTTTCCTTGCCCTACCTGATCATGAAAGATGTATTTTTTTAGACTATACATTGTTCTTGGTGTCCCCCCCGTGTGAAATTACATTACAGGACCATGGATTGGCACATACCAGTATTTCAAACACCAATGTTGGTTTGGCAAAATTGCCAGTTTGGTGTCATGGTGTACCTTAAAGACAGACATAGCAAAGACGGACAAAATGTTGTAGGAAGTGCATTAATATTATTTCATTGGTATTAGGGAACTGTCATTGTATTTCGTTAATATAGTTTTGTGCAAAAACCCCATTGAGGTCGTTGTAATCAGTTGTGGTTTTGCGGTAGCTTTATGTTTTTGTGTTTTTATATTCTCGTCTTGTAGATTCATACTGAATATAGTAAGCACCAGAGCCAATCTATTACACCTGCTAGTTCCATTATCCGCATGGTTACACCATCAACTGTTACCCAACAAGGTGATAATTTATCTAATGTTTACTGTCATAAGCATTTAAATGAGTATAAATTATGTGTTTGTAAGAGTGCTGCTATACATATCTGGCCTAAAATATTCCCACAAAAAGGGACTCAATGACTGGAAAATTAAACACATGTACATGTAACTTCCTAAAAGTCATGGCTCCTGTCACCAATGAAAATCAGTTTTCCACCACATGACCCAGGGATTATTTCTTAGCAGACTGGCCACTGGATTTTTTATGGCAGAAAACTCTGACTCTATACTACAACAGTTTACAGTTTTACCTCACAAATGCTGACTCATGAGAGTCATTTGTACAAGATTTGCTTGATATTTCTTAGGGTATACTTCTAATATATAATTTCTGTTGCATTCTAGGTGTGCCAAATATACCTGCTACCCAGTCTAGCCAGGTAGTCTATACCATGCCCACCTCTGCAGGGATAATGTACCCTCATCTCCAAGTACCAGTGGCTCCTCAACAAGCAGTAGATCAACCTCCAGTTCAAAAGGTACATGTAAATGATTGTCTAAGGTATAACCAGACATGTTGGCATTTTTAAATCTACATGTATGTTCAAAGTGATGCGATGTGTACACGTTTATGATACTGGTTTCCAAATGTGTGACATCTGGATGAAAACAATGGTTTTTAGTAAAAAAGGACGCCGAGCGACTTTTGTACATAGTCATACATGTACATGTATGTCACTGTCCAAAAGTCGGTTTGTTAGCACATATATGTTGTTTGCCAAATAAACAGAACAGAATGGCTTCTAATGAAGAAATATCGTGCAATGGCAGTGGATTGACTCAAGATTCCTTGGATTGCAAACTGCAAATTTTGACTGTCACACTCGTAACAGCTGTACCAATGTGTGAAGACATGACAAAGGTCATGACCCATCCTTGTTCCCTGTTGTAGGAAACGTTTCATGTGCATGTTGCCCATACATACTGTGTACGAGGCTGTGGCAACAGTTGCAGATTCCTTGGGCATTCTAAAGTAACCGATGGGTTATTTTTATTTGATTTGGGCAACTAGGCAAACTTTTGGTGGTGATAAAGCAGCATCAGCGTGCACACTCGTAACCGCTCAGGACGCTACATGTTATGAACTTTACCATTAGGTAAAATGACTTTACAAAATACACGATCTGTCAGTTGTTCAGCATTCAGAAGGTATAACAACATCAAACACAACAGAGAAAATCAAACGACATTTATAACAGTCATTACAGACAATTTAATCCGTCATTATTGCCATGTCACATTTTGGTGTCTCATTTACAACCGTTACCATTATGTTTAGTCCTCATAAAAACCTGGTGGTTATGTTTATGCTCACAGTATTATTGCATTTATAACTTCATGTATTGAGTTCCACGTTAGATACATTTCTTTTGGGACTACACATCCAGATTTTTTTGAAAGCATATTTTTATACCCGTGTCTCTCCAGTATGAAATAGTTACACATTATGTAATTACAAATAGTGACAATCAAAACAGTGTAAACTACGCAGAGTAATTTGTAATTTGCTCAATAACTCTGCAGACACTGGTAGTGCGGCAAGTTGCCATCCCAAGACCAGTACCACCACCAACTCAGTTAGCTCCACAAGAAACCATTCAGCAGCAGGTCCAGCGACAACATGAACAGCAACAAATACTCAGTGCACAGGTAAAACGGTTTGCTTGCTTTCCAGCTATGTTTGCAGGTTGCTTTGGTAGTGTTTATTATGCCCCACCAGTGAAGATGAAGGGACACACCCCAGTATGAGAACTGTTTCGTCCTTGTCCATCCCTGTTTGTGTGCATGTGTAGACATGTGTGGGCAGGCCGTAATTCAATGCATGTAAGAGACAGTTTCTCCTGTTAACTGTTCCTTAGAGTAAATGTAAACATCAGTTTCTACATGTAGAAACCTGCAGCCTTTTCAACAACTTACAGCGTTACGCTAACAATTGTTGTGACTGTTTGGACATGTTCAGTTGCCTGGAATGGGTCTCCCATTCTGCTAATCCCCAGTGTACACATGTGAGAATGGTCCCTGTTCCAGATGCTTTCCTTTAACAGTAAACCAGTCATGCATCCATGCACACAGGAAGGGCTCATTAGCAAGGCCTTCTACCATGTCTACCCAGCAGATATCCAAAGAAATGTGTTTGCTCTAGTTTGTTGCTATCCAAGCGCCCAGTACAGTGTGATTCAAGGCGCACCCACATTCTGGGAATAATCAGCACATCTTGGGGCACACTTCCAGTGAAACCAGGATCACATTTTGAACAGATATCACGTTACAATTTTTAACAGTTTCTAAGTTGTAAACTACAGAAAACTCATATCAACTCCATCATCCAGCTCACTTCCAACTTGAAGGGGAAACGTTAATTGAATGATTATACTGAAACTCCTGACAGAATAGGCCCACCAACTAGGCAGTTTTATTTTGTGTGTGTGTCTCTCGCCACATGCAACCTGTTAGGCACCTGTGTACAATAATGAAGCTTTACAAAATCACATGGCAAATGTGGTAAACTCTAGTTCCCTCCACTGGCACCTGTAGAGGGGAATAGACCGTGTGGTACATCATTAGCCATGAATCTACAGCAAAATATATGGACTATATTCAATAAACCTGAATCTGTCCATGTGGCACATCATGGGAACTAAACAATTGAGCGACACAAAATATGGGACAATGGAGCTCGACCTCTTCTGGGGCCGTAAATTGCCACTCGCGCGTAACGCGACCCACAGAAGAAGGAGCCTTGCCTCCAAACGCAAAAGTTACAGCAAGGACAAAATGCAACAGCGGAGATTCTGGAGAAAAAGGGCATTTCCCTCCAGAGAGATGCAACCCGTCCGTGCGATAAAGATTTGCTGCTGACCAATGACATTGGGGGTGCTCCAACACACTGATCCCTAGCTTGCGATATTGTGACTGTGGTCAGTGGTTCGTTGCCTCGATTTTTGGGACTAAGCACAATAATAAAAGAGCTGCGGCAGTATGAATGAACTGCTCCCTGCATTCCGCCAGCATTATAGCCAGCGTCTGCTGGAGTCCAAAAAAGTTGAGGTGCACTAAATCATTGGTCCCAATGTGAACGACGATGATGCACGCTTCCCTAATGGTGTTCAACAATTGTGGTTATTCGTGTATGCTTGTTCCACTCCTTCTCCACCATTGAACAGGAAATGGGACACCCATGTTATTGGCTGCCCATCCAATCAACACAACAATGCTCAACACACCCTGAAGTTTGCCCATGGAAAGGGGCGGAGGTAGGTGGCCAGTGCATCTGAACACCATCAACCCATGCGCTATTTATCAGCGAAGGGAACACCCATTTCAAAGGCCGTTGAAGCCGCCCCCATGCGGAATGAGTGGGATCGGTAGTGGTAGTACTGCAGCCTACTTACACCATTTGCAACACCCTATTAAATTGATAGCGTGTGAGGGACTGGCTGTCCATATGACAAAAAAGTGGACCTGGTGCTCGAAGGCGACACTGTAGGTACGAGTGGAGCGAGTGGAGCGCTTGAACCGGACAAAGAGAAGCATCAGTCCATCTGCCCTCATGAACAAATTGCGGGGGGGCCATGCTGGTTTGTCTTTGTTTGACGGAAGGAGAGAATCACTCCCTCCCCGCCCTGAGGAAGCGAAGATCAGAAATGTACAAAACCGAGTCCTGCACATTGGACCGAGAATGCGCTGCAAACTCACAAACCCTTAAGAAACGGCAGAACGCCAGCAGCATAGCTGAGCGGAAAAGCGTCGCTTCATATAGGGATGAGCATACTGCAGGTAATAACTGCGTAATGCTCGAGAGTAACGCCAGTGATATGGGGGATCTGGCGGTCACGACGCGAACCCCGCGTCTACAACCTTCCAGCAATTTTGCAACCAAGAAAGAATCTGTAGGGTCCGCTCCCCCATTGAGCTTGTAGTGACAACTGACACCTGCAACGTATGTTGTAATTGTCGCTGGGGAATATTGCTGGATGGACAGCCACGCAATGAATTCACCTATGTACTGTGGGTCATTGACTGGAGTACTAGTCCTGGATTGGAGAAAACGGTGAAAAGCATTCCACCCTGACGTGTAAGCTTTATGTGTGTTGCGAGTCAAAGCAAGCTGCATTAACCTATGCATTTCAAACCCTACTAAATTTGGGGAAGTGGTGGAAGAGGAGTCATCTCTGGCTTGGCCTGCGGGACTAAAGTGAAGAAGCGCTCCATCTGAAAACGAGATAAGGCACCAGCTTTGTCATTGAATATGCCTGGAATGTGGGAGGCTTTGAATACGATATTAAACTTCAAACTCTCCAAGACCAGTAAGCGAATCAGGTGCATTGCCTCAACTCCCTGGGCAGTTTGACCGTTAATCATATGAACAACCGAAATGTTATCAGACTGGATGATAACTTTGTGATTGGCAAGAAGAGGACCTCATGCCAGCACAGCAACGATTAAAGGGTAAAGTTCTAAGAGGGCGATAGGAGGGGGCAAAGCTCTCCATTGCGGCCACTGACTCTGCTACCACGTTTCCCCGAAATATGCCCCAAAGCCTATGATTGCAGCAGCATCCGTGAAAAATGCGAGTGTGTCCGAAGATTCCCAGCCCCCTGCCAATGGGAGGGTGATGTCGCACAAGAATGTTAGCCACATCAAAAGGTCAAGTTTTGCCTCTGCTGTAATACGCACCCTATGCAAAGGTCGAGTCAGGCCCCTCATTAAAGAAATAAGCCGCCTTACGAACGTGCGGCCAGGTGCAATAGCCCTACACACAAAATTGAACGATCCAACCATAGACTGAATCGCAATGAGCGTTGCCTTGGCTTTGCAAGTACTGCCCGAATTTGACTGGAGAGCGTGTCCACCTTCTCCCAGTTACTTTCATTTGCCATTCCTTGTCAACCTCATTATCATAATTACTAAGTAAAGATGTCAATAACTGGAGCTGGGAGAGCGAATTGTATGCTTTGGCTGTGTGGGCTAGGACACCCCTCGGGATCCCTTGAGTTTGCCCAGTGATTGATAGCCCGGACCCGCGTCAGTGTGTGACTTTTCTTTGCTCAACTTTGACCTAATTGTTCGGGGAAGTTTTGTGGCTGCCTTGAACTCAGCATGCTTGAGAACTGTGTCCCAAACGAGCACATTTTGCACATTTTGTGCTGGTACTTACAACCAAAAAACTTGCAACCATTCGGACCGTTGAACGCAAAGCACAAACCAGTAAGGGTTCCCGGGCACGATGGGAGTTGACCTGCGGTTGTGACAGGTGCCAACGCGTAGGACATGAAAACTTGTTATAGAACAGGAGAGGTAGTGAGAGCTAAGTGTTCTCCCACTGGCTGCTGGTCTGTGTCTGCCCCATGCTCTAGCACAACTGGTATCTAAAAGCTACAGTGTTTATTCTAGGGATTATCATACAGGGAGACACTACGAAAGTCAGGGCAAGTAAAAAAAAGGAAAGGACTGTTATCTGGTGGGGAACCACGCCTATAACAAATGGTTCTGGACAAACTAAGTATTTTGAGTCCCCAGTACACTCACGTCTTGTGAAATCATTGCTTTCCACAGCAATGGCAACTATCTATTTACAGTCGCCAAACCTTGCTGGTGCTTGATGTTCCTCCTTGGGCGCCAGTGTGCAGACTTTGATTTTTTTTTATTAAAACAGCTCCCAAATGCCACTTATTGCATGCATCACGGCTAGAACCAATTGGTTAGCTGCCTAACCATGAAAGGTGTTGGCCATTGGTTTTGAGCTTGAAAAGCAGAGAAACAATTTGATATATTAGTATTATCCATATCGGGCCACTAATACATCAAGATCAGCAATTATCTATAATCAACGGAGCTTACTCCAAGCAGTTTTCAAGGCTCTTCGTCACTGCTGCACGGCTGTCAAACACAAATGTGTCCTGATCTGATCTGACAATTCGACAGTCGTTGCATACATAAACCACCAAGGAGGCATGCACTCTCCACACCTCATTCTCCTGACAAGACAGATGCTTCTCTGAGCACGGGACTTCAGGATTGGCTTACAGGCAACCCATATCCTGGATACCAGCAATACCATTGTTGACACTCTCTCTCTCTAGGGAAGATCCACCCAACAGTGTGGACTCTGCACCACAATGTGGCCAAGTCAATCTTGAAGGCATTCAACAGACCACGTATTGACCTCTTTGCCTCAGCGGAGAATGCCCAACTGCATGTACCAGTGTTCTGCTCAAGTTTCCCTCACCCACAAGCTTGAGCATCAGATGCTCTTCCTGTCAGTTGAGAAGGGATGCTCGGCTATGCCTTTCCCCTCATATCCATAAATTCCAGCAATATTGTCCACAATCGAGCAAGAACATTGCCAAGTCCTTCTCATCACTCCGCTCTGGCCTTACCAGCCCCGGTCTCCTCGGCTGACCAACTCCTACATGTATATCAGGTTTTGCTCATCTCCAAATGTTACCAGACCTTCTCCATCAACCTAAGTCCAACATTCTGTACCCGCAGCAAGCAGAACGCCACCTGACCTGCTGGCCAATATGTCCAGTGATCATGGCAGGGAGAAGGCCTGTCTGATGAAGTTGCCGAAATGGCTGCAAGGGGCAGACGCCACACAAATGGCAAAATCTACGACAGCAGAATACATCACTAATCACTTCGGGTCTACTGATGATAAACCATGGTGCCCTGTTCGAATTCTTGAATGGTATCTGGCCAGGATTTAGAAGTAAAGAGGCACACTTTCTCAGCTTTTCATTACCTCAGTAAAGCCCCTTCGACTGCAATCAGAGACACTTTAAGCAGATGGGCCATGTCAGCCATCAAGTTTGCCAACCCTGAATGGCTGACCTCTCTGGACGATGAAACCCACAGTCTTAATATCCGGCCTCATGACATCAGGGTGGTGTCTGCCTCATGCACATGGGCAGTCTAAATAATGCCTCACAGGCTGAATAATGCCACACAGGCTGAATAATGCCACACAGGCTGAATAATGCCACACAGGCTGAATAATG